ACAATAAAAACTACTCGCCCCGGGCGATTGGGCGATGGCTAACATCGAGCCCTGAACTGGAAGCAGTCAGCTGGTTTTCCTTAGAAAATTTTGAACCTTCAGTCTGACTGAATGATCTGATTAAATTCTCTCTGTAACCTGTGTGCCTTAAAGAATATAGAATGTTGTAAACTTGCTATAGAAATAAACTCAACTGATTACTCTGCTGAAATATTTATTTATTTACTTTTTGTGTCCTGTTTATATAGCTTTGGGAATAGATGTGTCAGAGCTAGCCGATTGCCAGACAGCTTTCCTTTTAGAGGCAGACCATTATGACTATTGCCATGACATTACAGTTGGTACTTGTATATGAAACTTTATTGAAAAATATTTAGGGGGTAAAATCGTATACAATGGACACGGGGATGGAAGAGGAGGTGAGAAAAAAAAAGAAATGTGAAGCAGTGCATGAAAAGAAAGAGAAGAATATAGACGACACAGAAGTTATAGAGTAACTTCTAGAAGTCTGCTTCCACATGAGAGCCACAGAAAACAGAACATAACAGAAAAAAGAAAACAGACAACCAAAGCAAATAAAAGCAGATATCCTTTAGATATCAATGTGAGTGAAACTCAAAACCTTTGGTGATTCCACAATATTAATCAGGGTGGTATATATCTGGAGTGAAAGTGTTTAGAAATAATACCTAAATAAACTTTTAATGTAATAAAAATGCTGATGTGTTTATATATTAATGTATTGTGTATGCATCTTGTTCCTCTGCTTGTTTTTTGTTGGTTTTTTTCAAGGACCCCCTTTAACACAACATGGTTAATCTCAAGGGGCCAATTCTTTCAAATGAATTAAATGATTTTATTAAGACCAGATGATCTGAAATCCTCATAATTACTACTTGGTCTCAGTAAATCCTAACAGACTCTGCCGCGCTGCCGGCCTCACGCAGTGAGACCATCAGATTAACAGATTGAGTAACATAATCCAAAATCATCCGTTTTAAACACAAATATGGAGAAGAGCTGACTGAACGAACCTCTTGGCTTAAATATTTGAAGCCGAGAAGAAGAAATCTGTAGTGGGAAAGTTATACAACGCAGGTGTGATGTGTTTGTTTGAGTGAGCGAACAAGAGAGATGAAGTACGTGTGGGTGTTTGTGGGAAGAGGGAGGAGAGATAAAAGCAGTTCTGTGGATCTGAGAGTAGAAGCTAGATTAAAGAAAGACGCTCGAGCATGTCACAGCAGCAGCGGCCTGCACGTCTGAAGAAAAAAATAAGATTTTTGTCACAGCACATAAATCGGTTTATCAATTTCAAACCCGGTGCAAATGGATTAAGACTATTCAGTGTTTGTTTTCATCTAATTAAGGTTTTCTTAAAAATAAAAAGTTTTATGTGTTCCTACGCCCTGTGGTCGGAGTCTCAGAGATAAATCCATGGTTTCCTGCTCATTTTATACCCAAACACATAACCACACAGAGTTGGTCTAATCTGCATGTGCACCTGCCCTGTTACTATGACAACCAACCTGAAAGTGATGACATAGTGTTAATGAAGATGTTTTATTTGTGGGATGCTGACATATAGAACCACTAAACAATGCTGATGTATACAGGCTCCAACGTTACACCTCAAACCTCCGGAACTTCTCACCAATGCTGCCTTTTACAAACTTTTTCGCTACAGTTTCTGTTTTTACATTTTTGCACAGGGTAACCAGATGCACATTCATTTATAGCAAAGAGCTTAACTGGCTCAACATAAAACATAAACAAGAAACTGTGTGTTTGCTTTCTTTCTGCAGGTGAGGCAAAGCAAGTCCGGCTGAAATGAGTATCTCCATCTAATTAGCAGACTGATTGCTATCAGATGTGTTGGAGCATCATCTTATGTTTGTATAGCATGCAGCTATGTGTGAAAACGGCCTTCCTTTGAGTCTACTGCTGCTAAAAATATTACAGCTGACAGAAAATTTCTGAATCCCCACGAACTTCAGACTAAGAAGCTTAGCTAGAGGGAGGAAGGTCTCACAGTATAAGGAACCCTCTCAGTTGGACTTAAAGCGATTCTTTCAAACTATGCGGAGGGGGAGGCAGGAGTGGGGAGGTGCTGACCTTAAATGAGGACAATGCTGAAGGAATACCTCCAGAATCTCCTCAACCACACACCCAATGTTATGCCAGTTCATAATTAAAAAGAAAAAGCTCAAAGTTAATTAAACAAGATGAAATATTATCTATTTAACGTTCATAGTTCCCTTTTTCATAGATGAACTAAGTTTACCAACCTATACATGGACTAGTTCATTTAGTTGGTAAATTAAGCCACAATTAGATCAAAGCTTTAAATGTGTGATCATAATATATAGAAAGAAATGGAAAATCCTGGATGTAGTCAATCTATACAGGAGGTGCAGTGAAGCCTTTATTTAGCTAAATTACACAGAACTTCAGAATCATAGAGGCTTCTGCTGAAAAGATCTGGATCAAAATTATTTTTAATAGCAGATATTTCCACAGATACCGCAGATGCTTTAAGTCAATGTGCTGCTTTAAATTTGAAGTGGACGTGGCTGACATACTGACTGGTTTGTTAAGTCCAGGTGAGAACAGTTTGCAGTAAAACATGAGTTTTTTTTTTTTCTTTCCCAGTCTTCCTTTGTTAGTTGATCAAACTCTCAAGCGCTTCACTAAACGGGAATCGGCAGATGAGTCTGAATGGAGCAGACTGGTACTAGCAGTAGACAGTCTGCTGTAATTAATGCTGTAAAACCTGACATTATCCAATGAAAACTGTCGTTACCAATTGAATGCAAAGGTGAACTGTGTGTCGCTCATTGTTCTCAGAGTCAACATCTTGTCCACGATAATTTCTTCAAAACTGATCTGTTCAGTTCACCGTTCACTATAACTATGAACATATTCAGTGAACGCCGTTGAATCAACGCGTTTATTCACAACACTGGACACACCTTCCCTGGTGGAAGTAGAGACTTGGTGCCCTGAGCCATCGTCATCCAGGGCGAAGTCATCAAGGGGTTCAGGTGGGAGGTTTTTGGGGTGTATGAGCAATGCCCTGGGCTTAGATCTCTGGAGGTGTTTGGGCTCTGGTGGCTGACATGTCTCTTCATCATTGCCTAGTGGTCAGGGACAGTGCCCCTGGACTAGCAGATTATAGTGGTGGTTCCCCTCTGGAGGGTTTGTTCCAACCATGAGATGAGCACATTTCTCAGCCTCCTGAGAAGGCCAAAGTGCTGGAGAGGAGAGTCCATCTTTTTGTTAAACCCTTGCTTCAGTAGGAGCAGTGTGTTTGTTTTCCAGACTGTGGAACACTGTAACAGCTCCGTAGGGAGCTCCATGTCTATGCGTGTTTTCTTGATCTATAGAAGGCCTTTTTTTCGTCTCTCTTTGTGCTCTATGGGGGCTCTTCAGTAGAATGGAGTTGGTGGCCATTTACTAGTTGCCATCCAGTCCCTGTACAAGCCAGGATGGTTTAGTCTATATTGCCAGCATGAAGTCAGTTGGACTACAGTAGGCAGGCCTCTATCACAGGTCCTTTTCATAGACAGAATTTCTAAGTGTAGTCAAGGGCCAAATGGGGTCTGGTTTGGTGGCTTGTGGATTTTGTACCTGCTTTTTGCAAATGACATGGCTGTGCTTGCTTCCTCCTGCTGAGATCTAAAGGCTGATTTACACTTCGAAACTTGGTAGTTTGCGTAGGTGTCAGAGTGAACAAAAAGATGCCCTCGCCCCCTCCGCAGACGCTCCGCTGCACCTCTCCCAAATTGTAGCTGACCGCAGACAGGAGTCCGGCTTGTTTTGTTTTTATGACCGCAATTGTGGAAAACAACTCATGAAGTTGGACCAGCTAGAAGAGCGAGGTGCGCGAGAACGCTCCGACACTTTTTCCACCTGGATCCCCGCTCTTTTAGGCAGTCATGTCCCTCCGTTTTCGGACAAACTCACCCCCACGTCCACTACGCCTCGGCCATATCTAGACCCACAGCGTATAGGGCAGACCATGATTCAATACTGGGCATAAATCAAAAATCTCACTGCTGTGGGGAGTATAACCAGGCCTTAAAGACTAGCCAAGAAGCTGGGATGAAGATCAGCTCCTTCAAATAAGAGGCAATGGTTTTCAACCAGAAAAAGGCGGATTGCCCCATTGAGGTTAGAGAATGGTTCCTTCCTCAAGGTAAGGTGTTCAAGTGTCTCAGGGTACTGTTTGAAACGCTGTAGGATTCCCTCACAGGAGCTGGTGGAGGTATCTGGTGACCGAGACATCTGGGGGTAACGACTCCGCTTTGTTTTTAAAAGATATAAATGTAAAAACTATAACCGTGGATGTCTGGGGGACAGTGATTTGCCTACATGTTATGAATGCTGGCGTACCAACGGAATATCTTCAGAACGGCTCCAAATGACACAAAACTCATATGGGTGAGTAGAACATGATGTAATAATGCAAAATCAAGGGCCCAATGTGTAAAAACCGGTGTTCCCCTTTAACCCGCTATTTTCAGTGGGAAAGGCTTTACACTGGGAGGTACTAACATGCTTAGCCCCATCACTTCCTTGTTTACTCACTGCACACATGTGCAGTATCGTCATGTTGTTATGGTGAATATATACAGATTTACCTTATTTACCAAGAAATTGATAGGGAAAAAAAAGCACAAAAGGCAATGATAATACGTAAGGCAGCAGATCGTGGACATTTTTCTGAAAAACCTTGCAACCAGAGTGAAGCACTGTCATCTAAAACTTAAGTCATATAATGCTTAAGAGAAGTTTGAGTGATTTCACAGTTTAGTATCTGCAATAGAGACGGCCTGCCCCCTTCAGAGGAGTAGCTACAGACTTGTATCATAAAAATACAAAACTGTTCAGGCTCAGAACACAATGGTGTCACTGCATAAGCATATGGGTATGGCTTTGGATCTAGCAGTTCTAACCAAGTGACTGTGTTTTACCTGGATAAGGTCTCGGGCAAGCAGCTCCAACTCCCCCGCAGGAATGCTGTCGTCCAGGGTCTCCCATCGCTCCCCCAGACGGAACTCCATTACGTAATGCTGGATAGGTGCTGTGTGATTGGCAGGTGGGATCCAGGTGAGCAGGACGCCCTGCTGCGTGCGATTGGCTGTGAGGCACCGTGGTGGGGTAAGCAGCACCAGTGGTTCGGGGGTACTTGTAGGAAATACTGAAAGAGCATATCAGGGTTAGAAATATGGAAAATATAAGTTCTTTTAAAAAAAAAAATCTAAATTTTCTTTAGTTGATCTTCTGTTTTAAAACATTCTGGACATTTCGTAACACACACAGCACTAAAGATGCATACTTAGCTGTTATTTATGGCTGATTTCACATTGCAGGCCTTAATGCTCAATTCCGATTTTTTTTTTGTGTGAAATCTGATTCTTTTTCGTTCTGATTCTTTTCCGAGCGCATTTAGCGTTCTTCATCCACCTCAGCCAGTGCATTAACAACTCAATCATTTCAAGAGGGTTGACAATAAAGATTGTTCTCCACATTATCGTCCGCCATTGTCACTTTTCCTGCATAGCAGGAAGCAGAAATTTGACCTTTGTTGAGTATTAATGAGGTGCAGGTCGAATGAGACTTGGCTGTTCAGACACAGGTCGCAATTGCAAAGATCAGATACATATCTGAATCAGGAGAACAGAGCCAAGTGGCCTGGGTTGCATTGGAAAAGATTTGATCTTTGTTCAGACTGTCATGAAAGATCAGATACAGGTCGCATATTGGCAAAAAAAAACAACTACTTTGGGTCACTTTGGGCTGCAGGGTGTGATGGTAGAGTATATGTGTTGGAATCTGGAGATCTGCCACCTTTCTCCAGCAGAGAGCACCCTAAGTCTACTGAGCTGAAGCCACCTGCACACCTGAGGATGATTCATCTCATCAGGAGACCAGCTACATAAGCAGCGGCTTGACTTCCCTTCAGCGCCGGAGTGTTGACCAGTTTTGGTTAGCAGAACCTGTGCCTCAGTCTGCACGTAGAATCTCTGTCTGCTCTGGAGAGAAACCCTGATTCTAACCTGCCTCTGTCTTCTCTGCCTCACAAGAAAACCTGATCGAAGTCTGGAGCTCTGGAGGAGCTCATGTTTGGAAACCTGCCTGCCTGCTCCGAGAAGCCAAACCTGAAGATCCTCAGTCTGAATCTCCCTGCTAGTTCTCAGGAGAGAACTTGGAGAACAACTCAAGGTCTGAACCTCGCTAGCCTAAAGCTAAGCTCTGCCGCTGCTAAGCTCTCTGCTGAACCCTCTGTCTCTGGACCCAACTTGTTCCCTCTCTCCACCGATCAGTCTGAGCCTCATCAGGTACAACTCAGTATCAAACTCTGTCAAGACATCATAGCTACCTGGCTAACCAAACAATCCTTCTCTGCAGTGAACTCTGTGAATCCAGTCCCGGACCTGTACCAGAATCAGTGCAAACAATTTACTGCATGTGGGTTTAATCACAGAGACCCATCATGACAATATGGTCCACAAGGTAAGATTGAAGTTGTCGTTTTATGTTGCAGTAAAGTTTCAATTTACCGGTTCAAAGTATCTGGACTGGCTTAGATCGGCTCAGATTAAAATCTAGTGTTTCATTCCAAAGGTCTGAAAAGCGTGGTAAGCATGCAGCAAAGATGGACCAGCTGCAGACCTACTAAAACATGTCTGTCCACCCAAACCTGACATGATGGGTAAGAGCAAAGCCCAGTGGGGTTTGAGAAAGTAAAGCCCTGGTTTGACTGACAATTTCCCAGCAGCTTTAAACTCTATTTAAATCTAACAGTACCATTCCCACCGAGGGATGATTCAGGGACAATAAAATAAAAACATACAGAATCTCAAACTTTCAACACCATTGATTGTTAGAATCCACCATCAGGCTTCATACCTAAAACTCTCCCGTTAAACCAGTTGTTTACATACAGTTTCTTGTGTCATTAATGCTGGTTTCCTGTCTGCCAAAGTTATTATCAGTTTGTTATAAGGGTTGTTTAGTGTTACTTAAAGAGTGAAGAACTGAAACAAGCATGCTTAGTTTGAGGGATTGCTGAAGAGTCAATAAGTCGATGCAATCAGCTGGTTTTCCTTTGAATCAATCTAACTGGTTGATCTGGTGAACTGGATAGTGCCTTGAGATGACGTGCTGTGAATTGACGCTGAATTGAAATAAACTGAATTGAATTATGTGATATTAGAAATATATGACACTGTATTCTGCAGGCCCTATTTCCAGCATATTTCCTACATATGGTTGGTGTTTGGAATACTTTAACTTAGAATTAAGAAATGGAGACATCTGGTGTTTTCAGAGAGCAGGAGGGGCCCTGCAGTAGAATACTTTGACCTCTTTGCTTGGCTCACTCTAAGTGATGCATCGTTGATAGTGCTCTCCATTATCAGCATTTCTCCTATCGTTGCATGATTATCAGTGACAGCTTCATTTACACTTAGATTGAGCAACATTAATGTTTCTCGCCTCCACGCTTGAAAGAACCAAACTAAACCCGTAAAGACACCATGGTGACTTTCTAAACTGCTCTGATAATCACAGAAAGAATAAGAGGCAGTCTTTGGTTTATTTTGTGCCTGG